CCCCCCCCCCCGCCATCCATGTTCCCCCCACCATTCCCTTCAGGCAGGCCTTGGGTCCCATTCTTCTGTGTACTCACATGGCTGTGCCTGGGTCCCTGTATCACCAAAGCCACCAAGGCTGCTGAAGATGTTTCACAAGTATTCTGGCTTGGGGAGATGCTACCTCCAGCCAGCAGGCGGCGAGAGGGAGAGAGGGGAAGCTCATCAGTACCCTCTGGGTCCACGTGGGGACTGGAAAGCTCTGGGGAGGGGAAGGGAAGCTGGTCCTGCCCAGCCTTCTCCAGCCCAGGCCCCCCTTGCTAGACTCTCTGACCTTTTTCCACAAGGAGAGGGACGCTGCCCCAGTCTGCAAGAGGTAGGGGGGTAGGGGGGGATCTTGGAGGATGAGCTGGCCGTCGTCCAGGAATTAGGGCCTTGGTCTGAAGTGTAAGTATCCACCCAGCCAGACCCTGCCTGGTATGGGATGGAAAGAAAAGAGTAGTACCAGGGAGGGAAGATGGGTTGGGCCAGCTGGTGCCAGCCTTTCATGACCTCATGCTTTGTCTGCCCACCCCCATCCACAGTGTTTGTGCCTTGAGCTGAGGAGGCAGCCACTAGACCCAGAATCTCTCCAAGGAAGGAGAGTCCAAGACCCCAAGATAAGGGGCAAGAATCATCCTCTCTGCATCTCAGGTCTCTCCCAGGGGACAGGAAGACCCAGGCATCCCCTGGTCCTCACACTGGAGCTGAGATGAATTCCGAGGCTTGACCCCCTGCTGCCTCCTCACTATTTGCAATAGATGTAAATATAACCAATAAACCCTTTGGGAGAGCCATGGAATGGAGTGGAGTGAGGCTGTTCTTGATGATGATGTCAGGGTGGGAAAAGCTGAGCTCCAGCAGCTTCCAGGGCACTGGACAGGGTAAGGGGGGGTGGCAGCCTGACAACTGCTCTTTGGGCAGCAGGTGGTACGGGGTCTTTGGTTAATGCAGCCCCAGGCTGGTTTCTAGAACCCTCACCCTTAGGGAGGGTCTAAAGGCATTGCTCCCAGTGTGGTAGGACTCGGAGGGAGGCTCTAGCCCTTGGCGTGCTCCCCTCTCCACCCTAGGCTGAAGGCAGCCAACCAGGATCCTGGGCTTACAAGGGTTGTGGGTGGGCATCCTATCCCAGGCTCTGCATGGACTTTCTGCAGCTTCCTGGGCTGGAAGGGGAGAGCAGAGGACATTGGAACCTAGATGTGACCTTGGACTCAGCTCTGGCCTTGTTAGGTCACATAGCCTCTCTGAGCCCGGCAGGAACAAGGCACCTATAGGCCCTCTGGAAAGCTTGACATGCCAGGCCCCTGCCCTTGCTGGGTCTGCCGTCACCTGGCCCTGGCCCGGCCTAGCCTCCTTCATTATCTTCTCCAGCACCTCCTTTCTTTAGGCTCAGGGGGGATCTAGGGTCTGCCTCAGGAGTGGATGCCTGGTGAGAAAGGGGCTTCTGGCCCCCTTATCAATGTTTAACTGGATGCACTTGTCAATATTTACCAGAAGAGAAAGCGATCTGAAAAGGGGTTGTCTCAGAGCAAAGGTCCTGGTGGGAGGGGAAGGGAGGGCTGGTTGGAGCTGGGCAGAGCGTGGGGAGCATCAAAGTGGGGGCAGAAGAACATTGTGTACAACAGCAAGGACCCTGCAAAGGTACAAGGGAGGGGTGGTTCTGGCCTGCCCCTGGAGCAGGAGAGAAGCTAGAGCTAGGCTTTGCTTTGGGGACATGGGAGGGATTTGTTCAGGAGGCCTGTAGATTCCCAGCCAGCTGGGGTGGTGAGAAGCCAAGCTGGGCCTCTGTGGGGAGCCCAAGTAGGAAGGGGCGCTCAATGTTGCCCTCTAGGATCTGCAGAACTGAAGGCCTTTAATGGTGAGAAACACTCAAAAGTCTAGGCAGGAGCTGAGGACCCTGGCTAAGGGCCCTGCCTGTGGTGGGGGTGGGGTCTGGGGAAGAAAGGGTCCTCTCCATGACCTGGTCCTGACACCAGTGGCAGCCCTGCTCTGGGGCCCCAGCTGGGACTGACTGATCTTTCCCCAGGCTAAGGCCTGCTCATCCCACCTGCCTCTCAGCAACCTGGCTTCCCAGAGCTGCCCTGGGCAGGTGGGTGATGAGGCCTTTGGAATCCTATAAGTCCAAGGGTGGCTTTGATTGGAGTAATTCATTGGGTTACACTGTTGGGTCAGTTGGGCAGCTCAAGGGTCCACGCCATCACCCCTGCTGTGTCTGAGGACCTCAGGGCTGCATGTCTGCCTGCCCAGTGAGGAAGGGTGGGGGTGGGGAGGGACACAACCCTGAGCTGGATTGAAAATGACCATGGATGGAGTACCAGGCATTGTACTCCATCTATAGAGACAGACTTACTTTGACCTTCGCACCACACGTGGGAGGAGGTAGGGACGTTCGCTGCCCTTTTATAAGATGAGGTAGAGCCTAGAGAGGGTAATGAAGGTACTCGGGTCTGACAACACGAGAACTTAAAGAATAGACTTTTTTGTTTGTTTTACTAGTATTTTTCCTCCATTAACTAGTAACTTTGTTGTTTAGTGCCATTCATAGAGACCCTGTGTCTGGTGAATTCGCATCACTGACCTTGCAGTTCACACTGAGCTTGTGCAGCGCTTATCCTATAGCGCCACACCAGAACTCTTTATCAGTGCTGGAAATGTGAAAAACCAGAAAGAAAGAAATGAAAAAAATTAGTCCTAGGAAAAGCTCCAGTCTCTCAGGCCAAGAAGTGCCACTAATGTGGTTTGTGTGTTAGTCTTAGAACTCAAGAGTTCATGTCCATGAACATCATGGGTTGGATTTGGATAGCTGAGGGTGGAGGTATGAGGTGGGAGCTGAGGCTTCCTGTTTCCAACACAGGAACATGGCACTGCTCCGGGGGCTTCTGGTGCTCAGCTTGTCCTGTCTGCAAGGCCCCTGCTTAGTGGTAAGGAGGGGCCTGGGTCTCATGGGGGCAGGGCAGGGGTTGGTCAAGTTGAAGGAGAAGCTGAGACAGGTGTGGAAGAGGTCAGAGAAGCTGAAGGGGAGGAAGAGATGGGCCAGGCTATGAGGTGAAGGGTCTGGTATTGGCGGAGTCTCTGCCTCCCACCAGCAGGGACTAGAGTGGGAGGAGCATGTGTGAGAGAAGGAGGATCTAGGGAGGAGTTGGATCTTATGCCTCACCTGTGACCTGTGCAGTATTGGGGGGCCTAAGGGAAGGATTACTCTCCATCTGCTTCCTCCTCTCTGCAGCTCATGAGCGGGCAGACCCAGGAGAAGCTGCCCCCGCTTCCCCTCCTCAAGTTGAGCAACCAGGTACAAACCAGGTGGGACTGGGAAGAGTGGGCCAGACCAAAGGGAAGAAGGTCAATCAGGATGGACTGGGGGCGTGGCCTTGAGACTGCGGTTCTGCGGTTTGGAAGCCAGCGAGGTTGGAAGGAATGAAGGAAGGCATGAGGTCCGGTCCTCAGAGTGCCAGAATCTATCACATGTGGCTCTTGCTTTTTCCTCAGGACTGGAACAAGGTCCTGCCGCCTCTAGGCACCAGGGCTATGAGGGAGACCTTCATCACAGAACCTGACACTGACTCTTTGGACCCCCTGCAGGAAAGGGCCCCAGGAAACTGTGGGGAGAGAACCTTCACCCCACAGCAGAAACGCAGGCTGGCCCAGGCCATGATGGATTTCACCACAGACCTATTCTCCCTGGTGGCTCAAACATCCACCAGCCCCAACGTCATCTTGTCACCCCTGAGTGTGGCCCTGGCACTCTCTCACCTGGCATTAGGTACCATGGTAGAGCTGGGAGACTGGCAGAGCTGGGAGGCCAGTAGGAACTCAGTCCTCCAGTGTTTAGCAATGGGGTGGCTCCTCCATCAGGATCACTAGGGGATTTGCTAAAAATGCAGATTCTAGGTCCTTCTCCAAGTCTCTGTGAATCAGAGTCCCACAAGTCCCCCCCCACCCCCGGTGATTTTTATGCAAGAGTTTCATAGCTCTAACATCTCCCATTGTGGGAAATTGAGATCCACAGAGAAGGCCATTGCGGGAGTGAGGTCACCTTGCAGAGAGGCCAGTGGAACTCAGGAGTCCTGCCACCTGGTTCTGGTCAGTGGAATTGGGATGAGAGTTGGTGGTCCTGCGAGTATGCTTCATTGTGGCTAACCAAGAGGGACTGCAGACAAATGAGGCCTGGAGGGCTGTGGGGATGGGAAGGAATCCCTGGGCCTGGGCCTGGGCCTGGGCCACAGCCCATGTGGTCCCCTCCAGGTGCTCGGAACCAGACATTGCGGAGGTTGCAGGAGGTGATGCATGCAGACTCAGGCGCCTGCCTCCCCCAACTGCTGAGCCACCTCTGCCAGGACCTGGACTCCGGGGCATTCCGATTGGCAGCCAGAATATACCTGCAGAAAGGTAGGTGTTGAGGGCAGGGAGAGTGGAAGGGAGTGAAGGAGAGGGCCTTAGTCTTGCCAGCTCCTGAACATCTATGCCTGGGCAGCCTTGAGCCCTGGGAATAGCTCGCTGTCTCTTTTGCGTAGGATTTCCCATCAAAGATGACTTCCTGGAACAGTCAGAACAGCTCTTTGGAGCAAAGCCCAGAACCCTGACAGGAAACCAGGGAGATGACCTGGCGAACATCAACCAGTGGGTGAAGGAGGCCACGGAGGGGAAGATTGAGAACTTCCTCTCAGAGCTGCCCGAAAACACAGTGCTGCTTCTCCTCAATGCCATCCACTTTCAGGGTGCGTCCTTCCCCTTCTTAGCCCCCACCCTTGGTTTCCTCTAGAGGCTGAGCTGGGCTTATTCTGGTGGTCCCTCTCCCTCCTCAGGGCTGGACCTTGAGGGGCAGGTGAAAGGAGGACTCCTCAGATCATGGCTTGGGGCAGGAGACAGGGAATGAATGGTGTGGTGGGGAGGGGGCCTAGGAACTTGGCAATAGTGGGGATTGGTGTGGAGCGTGCACCCTAGGAGGAAATCCAATATGCACAGGCCCAGGGGGAGCTTCCTAGGAGTATTATATGGGTTGGAGAGGTCACAGCTCAGAGTAAAAAACAATGTAGCAAGGAAGAGACCTCAGAACAACTGGGGGTTCCCAGGCATGCAGCTCTGGGTGCCTAGCACCCACCACTTGTTTCATGAGTAGGTTCTGTATAGAATGGGAGGAGGCTGCTGGTGGTAAAGAGTCCACCCTGGTCCCAGTTCTCATGGCCTTTGCCCTCCATTTGGATACAGGTTTCTGGAAGAGCAAGTTTGACCCAAGCCTCACCCAGAGTGGTACCTTCCACCTGGACAAGCAGTTCACAGTGCCGGTGGACATGATGCGAGCCCACAAGTACCCCCTGCGCTGGTTCTTGCTAGAACAGCCTGAGATCCAGGTCAGCCTGGGTTGTCTGGGTGTGGGAAGTGGGGAGGGGAGCAGGCATGGTGTGAGGGTAGACCCTTATCTTCCTTGTTGTAGGGCAGTCATGTCCCTAGGGCTGACAGTTCTGGAAGGTCCCTGTGTCCCCACCTAGGAGGACCTAGTAGGTTCCAGTCTGCAAAGTGGGCAGGTGATGTGGCTCCTTTTCACAGACGAGGAGCTGAAGGCTCAGGGAGGGGAAGCTCACACCTGAATGTCCTTGTTCATCTGTCTCCAGAGAATATGCTATCCCAGAGAACTCCTGGGCTTGGGTGCTCGCTGGTCCTCATGTTGCCTCGTGCCCTTGTTTGCAGGTGGCTCACTTCCCTTTTAAGAACAACATGAGTTTTGTGGTCATTGTGCCTGTTCAGTATGAGTGGAATGTGTCTCAGGTGCTGGCCAACCTGACCTGGGACACCCTGCAGCAGCCCTCAGTGCGGGAGAGGCCCACTAACGTCCAGCTGCCAAAGCTACACCTAAAGTACCAGCTGGACCTGGTGGCCACTCTGAGCCAGCTGGGTAAGAAGACTAGGGATGGACCAGTCTCGTAGGTCAGGTGGAGGTAGTGTGGGTGAGTGGGTCTAGAACAGAACTAGTTTTGTGTCCTATCTTTTTCTGGGGCCTCAGAAAGATGAAAAGTTTGATGTGAGCCCCTGGACCCTCTGTCCTGGGGTGGGCTGGGGAGACTCAGGGACTGCCCAAGAGCGTTGCAAAGACCCCAGAAGAGAGCCTGGAATGGCCTTTACAGTGTGAAATGCCATTTTATCCCCTCCTTCCAGGAGGCCCCTCCAGGCTCTCTCATCTGGGGTTCCATCAGACTGAGTTCTGTACACAGGTACTCCAGACAACCCTGGGAGCACCTGGGTACACAGAGCTCAGCCTGAGAGGGTGGTCAGACATGGAAGCAGGCACTTCCAGCATAAGACAGGCTTCCTGGGGCAGCTGATGTTAACTGATGGTTAATCAGGAGTTGGTCACGAGGTCTGTGGGTTCAAGATGCTCTCTGACCAGGGCCAGGACACCCTACCAGGTAGGTAGCTGTGGGTTGAGGGTCACTCTGACCAGCAGTTGGCTGCCCTGGCAGGCCTGCAGGAACTATTCTGGGCCCCAGACCTGCGCGGGATCTCTGACCAGAGCCTGGTGGTATCCAGTGTGCAGCATCAGTCCACTATGGAGCTCAGCGAGGTCGGCGTGGAGGCGGCTGCGGTGACCAGCACAGCTATGTCCCGCATGTCCCTCTCTTCCTTCAGTGTGAACCGCCCCTTCCTCTTCTTCGTCTTTGAGGACACCACAGGCCTGCCCCTCTTTGTGGGCAGTGTGAGGAACCCCAACCCTAGTGTGGAGCGGGAGCGCAAGGAACAACAGGATTCCCCTGACAACGGGGACTCCACCGAGAACCTGAAACTCTCCCCCATAGGAGACAAGCCCTTGGGCCCTGACTTGAAACTTGCACCTCCCTTGGAGGAAGATAACTCCCAACCTAGTAGCCCAAAGTGAGGACAGTGGTTGCCAGCTAGCGCCCTGCGCCCCTGCCTGGACAAACCTCTCCATTCATGTGACTCTTTCCAGCCTAGCTTTGTGGGGTGGAGGCAGGGGTGGGGGAGGGGGGTAGGGTCTTGGGGCAGGGAGGCAATCTGGGAAGGGAGAGGAGCCATTCTTTCCCATGTCCTCTTGAAGAATTTGGGGGTGGTGTGGGGCTGAGGGGAAAGGCCTCAGGTGTCATTTTGGGGGCTTGGGTGGTCAGGCAGCTGTGAGCCCAGTTTTGTCAGGAAGGTAAGGAAGGTGATTCTGTAAGTCAGCTGGGCACCTCCCAGGGCCAGGAGTGGGAGAATGTCTTTGGTCATGTCCCAGGACACCCTGACTGCAGAGACGGAAGACGACCCTGGTGGTGATCCAGGGACAGACCATGGCCCTGGGAATAGGTGCCAGGGGCCAGCCCCTTCTCAAGAGGCCTGGTGTCCTGCTCAGACAACTTCAGGTGTCTGACATGGCCTGACTCTGAAACACCTGCTGAAAAGTGGGCATGCTGGGCACCCAGTGGTCCTTGGATATGTCAACACCCCCGGGATCCCTCTTCCTTCCTCTCTCCTGCCTTCCTCCTCGGGCAGTGGCAGGGGTGGGCCTCAGGAGCTCCCGAAGCCTCTTTTGTAGTTTTTGTAGTGATTTTTACACCAACTGAATAAAGAATGAATGGGCTGGTCTGGTTTGATGTCACTGTCTGGGCATGGGTGGGAGGGAGCTAAGGGGGCTGGAGGAAGGTGGGGAGGATGTCAGTTTACTGTGCTGTGGAAGGGTAGGCTGGACCCCAGGGTGAGCTGCAGCACTCTGCCACATCTGCGCTTGGTGGTCACTGGCCAGCCTTCTCCACAGTGCAGTCCCCTTTGACCTCTCTGGCCCTCTTCAGGGCCACCTCCTTACCAGACTGAGTCTACACTCAGCCTGCTTCCCTCAACATGCCTCAGGCAGCCGGCAGCAAGGGCAGCTCAGAATAGCGCCAGTTCTCCAAGTTGCGGAGAAGAACTGGCAATTAGGGAGTTTGTGGAGTTTCTAATTACAAGCTGGCCCCTCTGCCAGGAGCTGGCGCCCGCCAGCCGGGGGCAGGCTGCCGGGTGCACCCGGCTCCAGCTGGAGGCTGTCCTCACCTGACGATTTAGGGGAAACAGTTGGAGGCCCTTGGTACAGCACTGAAACCTTCCTCTGTGCCACACCCCAGGAGCTAGGGGCAGCGTGGGTGTCCAATGATTGGTGGGTGGGCTTGCTTCCATGGTGGGCCTTGTCTGTGAGGGTGGAGGGTATATGTGGCAGCAGCCCCCTACAGCCCTGAGATGCAGTGGTTGATTGAAAGGGTCACTGGAACCTGAAGGAAGTGAAGGAGAGCACCATAGAAGTCTCAGGGAGAGCGTTCTGGCCATAGGGAACAGCAAGTGCAGAGTTTCTGAGGTAGCAGCTTGCTTGGAAGATTCAAGATTAAGCAGGACACCCATGGGGTTGGAGTGGAGTGATGAGGGGGTAGGACAGAGATCAGAGAAGAGTTGGGGGCAGATTGTGACATAGGATTTTAGGTCATTGTAAAGATAATAGCTTTTACCCTGAGATAGTAGCCACTGGAAAGCGAAACCACCTAGTGTTAACCCGTTGTGGTAGGTCTCATCTTCCATGCTGCACACCAGGGCTTGATAGCCTTGCATGTGAAGCCACCACCTGTCTGTCAGCGGAGGCTTGACAGCACTTAACAGCAATGAGATTGAACAGATTTCAATGGAGTTTCCAGACTAACACTAGAAAGAAAGACCTGGCAATCTACTTGTAAAAATCAGCCAATGAGAACGCTTCAGATCACAATGGTTCATCCTGAAACCAATTATGGAGAGGGTATAGGACTAGGCAGCATTTCATTCTGTTGTCACCATGAGTTGGGAACCAATATAATATCAACTATCAGCCTATAGTTATATACAATGTTGCCATTTATTGCCAGAGGGTTCTTTAGAATGGTTGTAACAATATACATCCTCACCAGCAGGGCATAAGAGATCCTGGTTGTCCACATCCTTGCCAGCACTTGGTATAGTTAGATGTTTAAATTTTGCTAATCTGATGAGTGTGAAATATGAATCTCTTTATGATTTTAATTTGCATTCCCCTGATTACTGCTGCTGTCATTGTTAAGTGCTGTTGAGTTTGTTCCGACTCATAGTGACCCTGTATAGGGCTTCAATGGAGCGGCTGGTGGGTTTGAACCACTGACCTTTCGTTTAGCAGTCCAGTGAGGATAAAATATCTTTTTTAAAAAAATGTTTTATTGTGAATTATGTGATAGTTTACATGGGAGAACATTAGTTTTACATTCATCCTATTGTATAATCATTTCATTGCCATGGTTACAATCCCCTCCATGCATCATCAACCAACCAAAGGTTATACCCTGCAAGCCTGCCCCCCAAGTCATCAACACACAGCCCCTCTCCCTCAAGTCCCCAGCTGCTTTATCTCTCCACGTCATCGTCTCTGCCTCCATCTCAGGCCTCACTGCTTCTCTGGGTAGGGTCCTGCTCTCTGCTCTTCTCTATTGATGGTCCTAGGGACCTCTGCTCCTAGACTGAAAAGTTAATCACTCCCCTCCCTGCTATAAAACATCTACCTTTACATTTCCAACCTTTACAATCAGTCCTGATAACAATTATTCACTATTGTATCACAAGAGACCTATCTGCATTTCATTTCATCAGCCCTGCCTAGACAGATTGTATACTACTCACTGGAGATTTTACCTTCCTCCAGGCCCTCTGGATCTAGGTTCCCTCTTGAAAGCTTGTAAGCCAGTCAGTTCTTATCTTTGTGGCCCCCCCCACCACATTTTGGGTAACCAATGTCCAAGTTGCCCACCCCTGTCTACTCTTTGTGTGGAGGAGGAGGGAATGATTCTTGCTGTAAGGATTTGTTTCCTCTTTTGAGCTACTGCATCCATAGGTGTAGGTCAAGTTCGTCAAATTGTATTAGATTACACTTTTTTACCTCTTCTTTCTTCTACTGGTTGAGCTCTGATCATCCAGTCATTGAAGCCAGGTCAAGTGGGTATTATCTGTAAGTGTGTCCACCTATAGTCTTATGTAATGCAGAGGATCCGCAGGAAGCCTCCTTCACTGGGCAC